GATGCACACTCTGACTACTCTGTGTTCAAGGTACACTTGTGCACAGGTTTCCCAGGAATTAGAGCCCCAAAAAATTGTAAAACCTTCAAGATGTATCAATGGTAAAACACCGATGCGTTACAACGGTTCTCTTACACTATTCTTTATTTCTCAAAGCAGCAATCAATTATTGCATAAAGATTTCATTGCATATATAGTCTTAGTAAAATTGGAATTGTACATCTGTTTGCACTCTAAGTTTTTCACAACAGATCCAACACAAATATAACCTATAGGATAATGCTCTTAACGGTAAATAAACCAAGAAGGGTTTTGAAGGGAAAACGTTTGAAACGAATTTTTTCTGTGTTCAGACAGGAACATCCATATTTCACGTGCAATTAACAGGTACGAGAAAATGAGAATATACCCAAATGGCACTTAGGAACTTTACATTACTACAGAAAGTAAGTATTGCATTGATGTTTTATGCAAAATTACTTATCTTTTTAAATCGGGGGTCTGTTAGCAAAATCCAATTTTGTTTTAAAGGAAACAGTTTTTAATTTATAAGGCTAATTTAATTTAAAATGCTCAGGAGTAGGAAGACTTATTGGTCCCATCTTAAAAATTCAGGTAGAAATGTGACTCTAAGTCTAGTCAGCGATGATAACCTGGCATGTTTAGGGACACAGCACTGCTTTTATTGAGGTTAATGGTAAAACTCCCACTGATTTTGATAGTGTAGAACCGGACCCCACGGGATTTTCATAGTTGGATATTTTTTACATCTGTTAATTTTGTGATCAGATACATGGCATTGTTCTTTGATAGGCTGCACAAATGTTCTTATATCATCCATCAAGCAGATTATAAGAGAGGCCTTAATAATAATCAGTAATATTTTAGATTTATTCTAGGTTTGTGTAATTCTATTTAAATACTTCATTTTCCCATTCACCAACTGCTACTTCTGCAGCCTTTTCTGAAAATAAGTATTTTTCAAATACTGATTAAAAAAAAAGAAATTAAAGTGCAACTTTGTTTCTAAAATATTTTACTAAACATGATTTTTAAAAATGAGTTCTTGGTTTAAGTGATTAAACTTTAAAAAAGTTTCAGTGCGTGACGCTTTCAATCACAATTAAAAATTGTAGTCAGTAAACAAACCCTGTAGTGCCTGTCTTCATAATTTAGTTGTTATATATTAAATCTACCTGAGTCACTGCAGCATTAATGGTAGAAAAGTTTGCTTTATTTGAGTTTATTAGAGAAACTTGCCCCAACGTAACTTCATTGTCTTAGTTTACTTCAGCAGAGTATGGGATTGGAAGGAATCACATGGACCGTTCATTGAATTAAGCCTACAGAAATCATGAACATGGAGCAGACATTTAGCCCAGAGCTACTGCAGACCATCCACATACACAACACATTACAATACCTTTCTCTGCTCTTTAAGATCTGCAGTGTTAAAAACAAACAAGCAAACAAGCAAACCCCCACAACTATAAGCTTCTACAGCATGAGAGTAGGAGGTAAGTGTCCTGAGTTTCTGTGACAGAAAGGAATTTGATAGGTAAAATTCCCAGCTGATCTTAGGAAGACGACCACGTCCCACACCACAAAGGAAGACAAAAAGTCCTACGTGTCTCTGACAAACTGACGAAGCAAAAAACTCTGTGACTCCAAATCTGGTGGTTAAGACTGAGAACAAGAAGACTGACCTTGTAGAGACCAGTGCTACCAGGAGCACCACGCCATATTGTTCTGCGTGCTGTCTGTACCCCTTCCAGAGGAGGTGAAGAATGAAATGCACCCATAAGCCAAGTTATTCAGAGAAAAGGAAGGAAAAAAAACCCACCTTGGTTCTGCTGCATGATCAGCAGAGGAACTGAAGCACAGCATGATTTAAATGGTTTGAAAAGTGTGGAAAAAACTAGCAGCCCAGTCGTCTTTCGAAGTCCCCTGGAGATTTGAGCCTCTCTCCTATGTAAGGATTCATATCTCAAGCTTAAATTCCATTCTCCTGATTTTTCACTTTTTGTATAGCATGGTGGTGCTTTTCCAGGCTTATCAAGCACCACCAGAAAACAATGCACATTTTTTGTCTTCTCCCCAGTTTGAGACTTTTCAGATAGACAGAAAATTTTCCAACTTCTAGCCTTAATGTGTTTGTGACCCACTGGCAGACATTTCTACTTGTATCAATAGTATTCTTCAATTTAAATGAAATGTACACACCTCTTTGGTGTGTACATTACTTCATGTGATAGACAGCCCGTTCTCTTGGTCACTGTAATAGCTGTCAGTATATACCAGCCCTGAATCAAGTCAATGAAATCTGTGCATAAGTGTGCAAGTACACAGTTTTTGGATTAAAATAATGTCTGGGGCCTGATCTTGTCTATATTTATAACTATCACTGCTAGCATACAGAACAGTCTGGGTTTTTTGGTTATTCTGGATGAAGTGTTTCCCTGGCTGAAACACAGACGTGCACTTTTCCTATTTCACTTGGCTGATGATTTCTTAGAAATACAATGTATTTTAAGGGGAAATCAAGTGTTCTATAACTGTACCCAGTCAAATGGCTTGAAGTATATTTACATAAAAACTTGAACATATTTTATTCTTTCTACTGAAATATAACTTGATAGAATTGAATTTATAAACAGTAACTAGGTTTTGTTATATCACTAATTTAAAAACCACTTCCAAAAATCATAGGCAAAATCTTGCTCAGTCATACTGTTCTAAATCTGAATTAATCTCAGGAAAGGTGAGTTAACACAGTGAGATGCCTTTGTTTGAAATTTCTGCAAGCTATGAACTTACATATTTGTTAGTGCATTTATCTGATTCTGTCCAGTTGGTTATATCTCCTAGTGTGATGTTACGTAGAAATGTGAGACCACCATATATGAAGAAAAATAAAGATACAAATAGATATTTGATACACAGAATACTTATCATGTACATCTTTTTTCTTTCCTTACGGCTACAAGCACTGGCCATGACAGCATACAATGCATACGACTGAGTAAAAGGGGACAGGAATGGTTTTGCAAAGACAAGTGCTATGTCATGGCTTGCATTCATACAGGAGATGTTTTCTTGTGCTGAAAAGCTTGATTGCTGAAATCAAACCTGGAAGAGGTGCTCAACCCATGCTAACCCAATCGTACTGAGGCTCTGTCCTTGGGTTAGAGCTAGTTGGCCTAACCCAAAATCACACCAGGAACCATGCTGACAGCTTAATGGTACGGATGGTCACCTGCTGGTGGTCCACTGCTATGGACATAGCCTAAGGCTTGGTCCAAACCCACTACATCAACAAAGTCAATGTGGTCTCTCCAGTGAGAGTTCGACTTGGCCTTAGACACATAATTTTATTAACATTCAGAAAATTACAACATAAGCAAAAATAACCCCAAAGAAAAACAAAAAAATAGAATCTTGAAAATGAAACATATGCTTGCAGATTCAGTGCAAAAGCAAACTGAAGCAGAAGTTGCTAATATGGTTTTAGTACTTTGTGAAGGTGCCAGCTGGATGGATGATAATTTTTCTACCCCTGCAGGGCATCAAAGCTTTTATAAAATCATTCTTTTCACACATATTAGCACTTAGCTTATTAAAACAGATGATACTTTTTTTTTTGTAAAGCTGCCTGGGAGTGTCTGGAAATACAAAATCTGAGAGATAAGTCTCATTTTGACCACCCAGCCTAACAAACAACAAACACTGACATGACATACCACGGCTGAGAGTCTATGTTATGGGACCTTCTGTGACTGCCACAACTGTAGTGTCACAGTAAAGGCTGTGAATTGCTGTTATGAAAACATTTGCTGTAACTTGCATAATTAAATGAAACTGCCAGCAAAGCTTTCTAAAATACTTAGGAGATGACACACAAATAAATACATTTCAAAGTCTGTATTATGTTCCAGAATTTGTTTTGTAATAAATTGCATTGCACAGTGCCAGAGATGACTTCTTTCCCTGTTCAAATTCCTACATAATTATAAGTGACTGACATAATTGGCATGTAAATTGATTCAAGTTTATAATAAAATAACTTTTATTTTAGACATATTTTACATGTGTAGTGCTTTGAATTTATACAGAAGCTACAACTTCAGCTGCCTACAGCTTCTCCTTCAGACAACTCAGAAAGGGACATACTAGACATAAATTAATGTCAGAACTTAAATGAGCAGAAATATGGCCAAGACACTTGCTAGTTGCCTTATAGGAGAGCCTTGTATGAGGAAAATTTTGGTAGAGCAAGCGATCATTTCTAACAAAAAGAGGAGGAATCAGGGCAAAGGAATGAGTGGAGGGAAGCTGTGGAAGCCAGTATCAAAGCTGAGGGAAATTACTGTGAAGATACAGGCTGGCTAGCAATGTGTGGGCCTCGAGGTTGAGGAAGAGGATTACTCTGAACTTGCAGAAGCAGGACTAGAATTTTGAAAACAAGTTCAACAATTCAATAAATGGTTGGTCAACTTTAAGAAATTATAAGTCTTAAACTAAAAATCCATAAAACAAAATTCTAAAAGTCGTTCCATGAAAGTACTGGTCAAAGCTGTAGATGCACCTGGAGTAACTGGCCTCTTTCTGTATATGAGCAGGCAGTGATGTGTACAAGTTCTTTATTTAGGGAAATTAGGTCTGCAATGGAGTCCACAAACCACACCAATCCACTTGTCTCCATTAACACATTCAAAATCGTAACATGGAATAAAATTAGACTGCTCACAGTGGAAAAATTACTACTTTGAATAATAATCTTCTACCAATTTTATTTATGCCTTCTAGCACTTAGAAGTTTCATGCAGAAAATGTTTAAAGAAAAGCCATCCTTTACAGCTGAAGATGGTAAATAAAAAGCATCAGAAAAAATGATCAACAGGGAAGAACATCTGAACGGCTTGCTGAATATCATCAAAATGCAGCTTATCCCTTCTGATGTAGTAATAATACCAGAAAGTTTTGAAAGGGTAGTTACTTACATCAAATAACTTCTCTATGTACATTTCCTCATTGACCTTTTCTCGAAGTATATCCTGGTTTTGTCGAACAAACATAATGTAGGTATCTGCTAGATCCATCCCTGGTTTCTGTGGAGACATAAAGTAAGGGGAGAAAGTAGTGGGAAGGGAAAGA